GGTAGGAATGACTATGTTCTAGAATCTGTCGGAGGGTGAAGATATGATCAATACACCCTCTTCCTGGTCTAAAGCCTGCCTGGCTCTCTCGTGTTTGTGCCTCCCGAGCACCACTTAGTCTACGCGTGATTATTGAGCCTAAGACTTTAGATACTATATTAGTCAAGCTAATCCCTCTGTGATTATCACAGGAAGACTTGTCTCCCTTCTTGTATATGGGGATAATCAGTGACTTACACCAACCCGATGGGACTTCTTCTGATTCCCAGACGCTGCCTAGTACCTCAGTTAATCTACAAACTAGTATGTCACCCCCATATTTAAACACCTCCGGAATAATTCCGTCGGGTCCTGCCGCTTTGCCTCGTTTCAAATTACTGATAGCTTTTGTAACCTCACCTACAGACGGCGGACCAGTGTCTATATCCCATTCGGGTGTGTGTGGATGGCGGGAAGGTTCAGTGTGGCTGTAGGCAAGTTAAATTGTCCCTCAAAGTGTTCTTTCCAGCGTTCAAGGCGTCTATCCTGAGAGCTAATTAAGGAGCCATTTTTCTCAGAAATAGTCTCACTTATGATTTGCCTTCTCCCACCCGTTTCCCTGATGAGTCTAAAGAGTTGCCTAGTGTTGCCTATCGCCGATGCTTTTTCCATCTCTTTTGCCTTTGTCAGCCACCACTGTTCACGGTCCTTGCGGAGACTTTTAGTAAGTTTCCTTTTGTGCAGCTTTCGCTTCTCATTGAATTCGGAGCTCGCCGGAATAAGTCTTCTAGCATCTATCAGTTCGGATGAGGCGGTGGAGATCTAGTGGTTTTTACTCACCTTTGGATTTGCCTTATTCACAGCTTTTACAGCTGTATCTATAGCTGACTGAATATTCTTCCAGGCTTCTCAGGGTGACCACAGCTGTCGAACTCAGATATGCGTTTAGTTAGTTCTTCCTCAAATAGGGATTTAGTTTCCTGATCGAGCTGGGGACGTGATGAGTTTACCGCCAGCTTTTTCCTACGCCCGTTCAGTCGTAAGCACACACGAGCCCGGACCAGTGCGTGATCGGTATCTACACACGTGTTCCAGAAGGAGCGACAATCTCCTACCGACCCACGCCAACGATAGCTTATTGCTATGTGGTCTATTTGTGTCCAGCGTTGGTTTGATGAAGGGGGTCTCCAAGTCAAACAGTGTCTTTCCTTGTGTTTAAAGTTAGTGCTTACAAGAAACAAATGATTATCAGAGCAGAACTGTAGGAGACGGTCACCGTTGTCGGTTCGCTGGCATGGAGCTCCATAGGTGCCACCGACATCCTTCTCAGATTGACACAATTTCCCTACTTGAGCATTAAAGTCACCAGCTAGAACGACTATGTCTGAGCGTTTAGCCTTTCGCACCAAACTAGACAGCTTTTGGTAGAACTCATCCTTCGTTTCATCTGAACTGCAGTCAGTGGGGGCGTAGGCGGAGATTACGAAAAGGCATCGGCGAGTAGTGCAGTCCTTCCTCCTTCTTACTGATCCGTTCAGGCGGACAGCACACATTCGGCTATCTACCGGGATCCAGTCAAGCAATGTCTTTTCTGCCCTAGTACTCAAAGCTATCCCTACGCCAGCTAATCCTCGTGAACTAGCTGTGGCATCTCCTGACACCCTCAGGGTGAATTTTGCAGATTCAACCTGTTGGCCAGGTGGGGTTAGGTGAATAACCACACTTGGGTCTTGTATGCGTGTTTCTGAAACACAGCATACATCAATGGCTCGTGATGCCAGGGACTTGGCTAGTGATGCTTGTTGTCCTATTTGGCAAAGTGTCCTAACATTAAGAGCTCCTATATGAAATTGGTGGCGCGGCTTTAAGAGGCTGTCGGTGGTGGTTTTTTGGCTTCCATCGTTTTTAGTGGACGCAGAGTGGAGAGGGAGTGGAGAGCTATCAAGTCGAGGAGTTGCATCAGTGGAAGGAAGGCAAGATGATAGAGATGATGATGAAGACAAAGATGAGTGAGTAATAGAGAGGTTTCGTGTGCGTTTCGGATTGTGAGGGCGATTGTTACTTCCCGGCTGCCCACACCGTGCATATCTTCCAGTTTGTGGGAAATCAGACATATATCATCGGCGAAGTCCAGATCCTCCAAGTTTTTTGTGTGAAACATCAAATAGTAAGGAGATATATATTCAATGTCAGAGAAAGCAAATGATACAGCGTTGCGGTGATACATGGGAGGAGACATGAAAGGAACACAAAGAAACAGAATATGAAGTCCAGAAGAAGCACAACCTGGAAGGCTTGTTCAAATGGTGCGTTGAAGATAAGGTGTACATAGTTTGGCTATGTAGGGATACCATATTGCAAATAGACATTCCTTTACCAAGTCCTATGATTTCTCCCGTTACTGTATAACTGTTTTTGGATGCGGTGATAGCTTTAACTTTACCTTATGCGAGCAGTTTTACACCCCCGTGCATCGGCGCCACTGGAGTTAGGACTCTCGACGACCATACACATGGTCTGAGGTTCGATCCACAGCTGACGAACATCTAATATCAATTGGTCGGCTTGCATAAATTGGGCTACCGATATCACATGCTGAGAATTTCATATGGTGTGGAATCAAGCTATAGTCAAACAATAATTTATGCATAGTCCGTTGATATAATCTTTGAATTATCTAGGCACTATTTTGTTTTTTAAAGTTTTCATATAGTGCTATCAAGTATATTGCTTTTATCATTACATCTTTGAGTTCTTAATGGAGCACAAAGCCTCAGTAGCACATCTACATTTCATCCTATTCTCTGTTGTTCTCTTTTAGTGTTGACTCTACAATTCTCCAAATGCTCTCATCTTCTAGTCACACGATCTTCTTCATGTCACCACCGTCGTACGTAGACGGTGGAGAATACATTTTGTCTCTCTATTTATATTTTTTCTGTATACTTTGAAGTTTCTGCAGCGATCAAGTTGATTTTCCTGAGTAGCCCCACACCCAACCCCCTCCCTCTTTTTCCGAGTTTTCATATCAGCTAGTAAACTAGGCAAGGTTATGAAGTATGTGCGATGCAAATTATTATTTTTATGAAAAAAATAAACTGGTGAAAAGTTTATAGTTTATAATTGTGAGTCAACATTTATGTATCATTCCTTGTGCTAAAAACTATCGTTTTTTTATATACTACTTATTTCAAGTGCACGACATCCATCATATGATAGTGTTTTCAAACATTATTTATCATTATTATTATTATTACGCTTTTATATACTGGAGTATTAAATACAGAGAGCGTTTAAAGTTCATTATCTCAACCACTTGTACACACACACACACATACTGTAAATAATTTTCACACTTGGACACATTATTTTACCTAGTAACTGAAACTAATACAATTTAACCTGGACTGTATAATTGATTGTTCAGTAGCAAATCATACTTACAAATGGTTCTTCATCTTAGTAACCATTTGGATAATTTACCCGTTAATTCATCTTGACATAAAATGAAATATATTTGTCTATATATATTGTATACCTATGAAAGATTAGATAATGTATGCAAAGCTTAACAAAGAGAGTTCATTTGTTATTACTTATTATTGTAGGTGTATAACAATGTTTCAACTACGCATCTGTATATCTGTAAGCCTAGACAATCATTTACCATACCATACCTTCAGTAATCTACAAAGAACACTGCCAAAGATCATCTCGAGTTCGTCGTCATTCAGTAGTTAGCTTACTGAATGACACTTCAGTGTAATAATGAAAACAATCAAGAAAAGAAAAAAAGATTTAACAGTCTTATGCTTTGCAAATGTAACTGTAACGACAGTACAAAGTCGAAGAAGCAAATTGAAATAAGTATACGAAAAAAATGGATAAAAATTCTTTTTTTAGTCTAATAATTACAATGATAAACATTTATTTATAAAATGAAAGATAAAGTTATGCTCACTTATTACCATCTTATTTTTTGTGCGTAAAAAACACACACACACACGAATAAAGGTGAGAAATAAGCGTCTTATTATGTTATCGTTATTATCGTTATTTCACCTAATTAATTGTATTATGACGAGGATATCGAAGCGGCGAGGATCGGGAAAGCAAGACAAGCTCTCATTACTCTCAAGTCTGTGTGGAGGTCAACAGCACTCAGCATCAAAAATAAGATCCAAATTTTCAACTCCAATGTGAAGTCAGTCAGTTCTACTATACGGATGAGAGACTTGCACTGCGCGTCATAAAGAGCATCTCAAACAAACTACAGACCTTCATTAACAGCTGTCCGCGCTCAATGCTAATCAGGATCAGATGGCCAACCAGAAAACATCAGCAACAGGAATCTCTGGAAATGAGCGGACCAACCAGGAACCGATTGTGAAGCAAATAGGCAGGAAGAAATGGAGATGGATTGGCCATACGCTGAGGAAACCATCAAGTGACGTCACTAGACAAGCCATTGCTCGAGTGGAACCCGAAAGGGAAGCGGCGAGTTGGTCGTCAGTGCAAGGATGACTTGGAGGAGGTCATGTGAAGAGGAGATGAAAGCATGTGAGGGGACTTGGAGCGGGGTGAAAACGTTGGCAGAGAACCGAACGCAATGGAGACGCATGGCTGAAGCCCGTGCAAATAAAGCTGGAGCGTTACGCTCTTACTGTGCGTGTCATAACCATTACTTATAAGGCAATTGACAAACTTCTCGCAGTAAATGATTTCTGAAGATATGCAAAGCAGGTCTTTGACCTGGTCGTGATCAGATCATTTGTTATTTAATAAAGTGAAAGAATTTTGATGTATAAATCCCCGTAGAAGTCATCTTGTGGAAAACCATAAGCATTAATTCATTCCCAAATCATTTTCTGAGCCATGAAGCGATCATAAAATACCAATTGACAGTAAGTAAATTCAGTTGTTAACTCTTTAAGCACTTACCTCTATATTCTTTTTACACTTCTTTTTTTTTAAAGTTAAGTTGTTTTTGTTTTACTCACTCAATTTCTTTCACTTTTCAGATGATGGAGATAACCAACGAAATATTTTGAATAAATTCACTAGTGAACAGCCTACTGAAATTATTAAGTCTAGTCATGAAGATTCTTCAAATCCTACTCCTAACACCCTCACCGATGAACAACATGATGATCATAGTAATCCAGATATCCTATCTGAAGTCAATCCAACAAAACCATCTTTATCATCATCAGAGTGCTTATCTCCAGTATCTTCAAGTAAGAGTCAATCATCACCGGAGAAAAATGACAGTGGATGCAACAGTGTCTCTGAAAATAGCATTGTAAAATATTTATATCTAAGGATTTCTGTTACAGAAGATGAAAATCATATCTTTCGCCTTACAGTAGATCGGTAAGCATAAGTTTCCTGGTTTACCGTTCATCATTTAAGTAATTTAATAACCCTGATTGGACACTAGTTAGTGACTATTATGGTCTGTCTAGTCCTCTGTTTTTTTTTTTGGTACAGACTGAATCCTGTCAGTCAAGTTTGCAATGTGGGGTCAGCATTCTAGGTGGCTAGCCATCATGGTGCACTTTGAATTGTCGATATTAGATAGTTGGAGGAAATCGGCCACTGGAAGACCTAGGTTTTTGTGCCAATTGGCACTCATCATCAAGGCGTATCTGCAACCTTGAAGGAACTACTCATATCCCTTCTGAGATTCAAACCCGCATCACCCAGTGCTGCTGCAGTCAGAGATGTTACCACTGAGCTAGTCGGGATCGCGACTGACCTCCTGTAGGACTGTATTGGATACTAGTCAGTGGTTCCCTCAAGGTTGCAGATACGCCTTGCTGACTGGTGAGTGCCAACTAGAACGTAACCTAGGTCCAAGGCTTCCTGTGGCCGATTGCCTTCAACTATTTAATATCAATGCTTTAATAACTGTTTGTGTGTTAGCCTCTTTGTGTTTGTTCTTATTAACCATTCTCTCTGTGATGTTCTCACTCACTTTATTTCAATATTATTAATTGATAGGTATTATTTGCTCACGATGCTAGCTAAATCACATATCCTGTTGTATGAAAATGTTTTTTTTTATTATTGCTTGAAACCACACAGTATTTTTGGTACAAGTATGGAATTTTCAGCATATGATATCGGTAGCCCAAATTTTGCAGGTCGACCATAGATATCTGGTGTGCGTCAGCAGGGGATCGAACCCCGGACCATGTGCATGGTCTGCTGGCTGCATTCACCTGAGAAACTATAGTGACCTTCCATTTTTTTCCTTTCGGTCTCAATGTATTGAAAGGTTATTAGAAAAATGTTCTTTAATAATGTAGCTGATTATAATTACAGCAGCGTAAACATGTAGAACTAACTCACTCTATTACAGTGTAAAAGAATTAGATTATTAGAGTGTAAATGTCTGAGAATATTCACAGTTCATGTGATTGATTTTCAGTGGTGTTGCGTTCTATGAACTGCACAGTTTACCTGTGGAGCTCGTACTGTCGTCCTAGATTAAATTGTCAGCATCAACTTCAAAAAGCAGTAAGCATTTAGGTAAGTTTTCCACAATTAGCGTAGTATTATATCTTGTTAATCTGGGAGTTATAACTAGTCATTCTCAGTCTAGATGACGGATAGAACGAGCACTTTGTCAGATGTAGTACTTAAATCACAGATGACCCAGTTAATTTCATGGATTATATTAAACTTTTCTCCTTTTGTGACCTCCTCTTTAATTTCCATGGTAAAGTGCGGAAATTTCGTAAGTTTGTTGGGTACAAAGAAACTTTAAGGACGACGTAAGCTCCACAATTAAACCAACCGGCTCAGAGAACACTACTAATTACAAGTCATCCACCTGAGCTACAAATCTTCTCTATTATTTCAAAGACTTCAAGGTCCTTGAAACTCTAGCTGTAATTTTTGAAACATTTGTAAGGTAGTACAATCTCTTTTTGTCTTCAGCGGTGACTTTTTAAAGTGTTCATGATTATTAATAGGCGTTCATGACCAATTGGTGTGAACAGTTACCAAGACATGCTGCCAAATGACGCATGCAGAACTAATAGCTTAGTTTTTCGAAGTATATACTTCAGATGACTTGAATGACAATGATGTCTTCATGATTAAATGCTATAGCATATTGATATTTCACAGATTTTATGTTCATTTCAATGGGTATTTTTCCCGAAGTATGAAGCTATTCCTGGTGCATCCGTGGTTCAGCGGTAGAACGCGCGTCAACCACGCATTTGTTTCGGGGTTAGTTGGTCCCTCAGCCAACTGGGTCCTAAACCTCTATAAGCGAGTATTAAGCCTGGCGTGAGGCGAGCAACCCCAGCCGGCACTTCAAAGGTCTACCTTGAAGCCCTATGTTCCACTGGGAACGTAATTAAGTAAAATAATATAATAATAATAATGAAGCACTTTCAACCGAATTTAAATATTCCTAAACTAATTATTCAGCCTTAAGCGTATATAACTCAGGCGTCTTTTAGACCACCGTTATTTTGTCTACATTCATTTTTGACTAAGCCATTTAGTTTCCTTACTAAAGTAAAATGTCAACAGTTATAAAGAAGCTGGTTTAATAATTAAGCTGATATGCTTGTAAACCTTTATTGTCTTTCATGTGTAGCTATCTCAAATCTCTTTTTGGGCTAGTGCGAAGTGTAATAAACTTGAGGAAGGAAAACAAACTCGCAACGTACAGGGCGAAGTTCAACAATAGCGTCCCAGGAGTGTGAACGCTCCAATGACATTGAACACATTCTAGTCGTTGGCTAACGGTATTTGTCATTATCATAGCTGAAACATCAACGCTATTCACCAACTTAGGAGCAAATTTCACCCATATCACGTTTTTAAGTACTGTTTGGACAATGTGTTCATAACTTGTTAGGGTTAGAATTACGGTTTGGTTAAGGGTTATGGGCAAAGTTAAACTTTAGACACCACTAACAACCAATCAGCAAACGACCTCGAACGGACCAATCACATTAAAGAGGCATATATGATGAATGGAAATGTATATTTATAGAAAAAAAGCATAAAATAGATAATAAAAAAGGTTACATGGGATATCTTTCTCGAACATGTGAGAGAAAAATCTCCCAGTTTAGCATGGGACTGTCAATGGAGAAGTTACACCATATCCTGTACATATATTCATCCAAATGACTATAAATGAGATCCTTTTGAGATCTATTTATAGCCCTTATCCTATTTTCCAACCTGCCCCAAAATCCTTCATTAGAATTTGTATGTGTCCTCGTAACGGGATCCACAAAATCACTTGAATGGTTGTCTCTATGATGAATATATCCCAGAGATGACAGCGAGTTGTAGCCTTTCCACTCGTCGGTGTGTATAATTGACCCCCGTTTAACAATTCTGGTAATAATAGGTATAAGAGTAGTTGCTTTTCTATCTGCTATCCTAAGGGAGAGAAGCGACCTAGCGATAAAAGTTCCTACGAAATAATAAAATTATCAGCTTACCCTCTCTAGCGTTAGTAGGCTTCAAACATATAGCACAACGGTGAACAAACCCATCAGTTGATTTGGTATAGCTTTTTAAAGTCATGATACCACCACACAAACGAATTCGCTCTTTCCGGAGCAACTCAAATCCAGGAAATACTGGAAAACACTAACCTCCTCGAATTGCAACAATAGCCTTGTAAGGTCACGCATTAGAAATGAATCAAGCGCTATACAACATTGAACTGCGTTCGTGAACCTCATTGGATAATTCGCTGATTGGTAGTTAGTGGTGTCGAAAGTTTAACTTCGCCGGGTTATGATTAGGGTTAGAATTAAGGTTAGGGTTAGTGTTAGGATCAAGATTAAGCTTGGTTGTGATTAGGGATAGATTTATAGTTGATGTCATTTATTTTAATTTGTTTAATTATCCACGTTTTCCTGGTAAGTAGTTGTATATCCTCTTGCTGGAAACCATAATAATTCAACCGAGGGCTTTTTTTGGAAGACTGCAAGCAGGATGAGAGAGATAAACAATTCACAAAAACACTTCATCTGTAGTCATTTCGGTGAATACATATACAGAAACTAGTCTAACTTAGCAACTGATACTCCTCGTTATAACTAAGACGTATTTTCCAGCCATGTCAGAGGAAGATAACCTGTTTAATGCGTTTTCAAGCATCTTTTTTGTCAATATACATCATTTTTTGAGCAAACGTTCCTCATTTTTTATGATTGGTTAGCTGAAGGTCACTCGTGCGTTCGCACTGCTGGTACGCTACTGTTGAACTTTGCCACTTACAGTTGACACAGTGCGAGGTGAAACTTGACCACACTTTCCTTCTCAGATTGAAATTACTCAGATCATAATATGTGATCTCCTTGATACCATATATGGTGATCGAGAAAGCAAGCTTAATTGCATGATGCTCTATACTACTGATTCGTTGATGTCAATATCAATCACTAGTAGTATGGTGAGAGCTGTCTCCAAGCCAAAATTGTAGACAACAATCTACGTCAATGTTCACATCCCGAATCAGGGTCATGAGAAAAAACAATAACAAGGCTTAACTTTGAGAAAATCACCAGCCAATCACAATGGAGTTAAAGTGTGGAAATATAATTCACAGATATATGACTTGATTTTCTGAGAAATGGCCACAAATAGATAACAGAATAACCTTCAACAAGAAAACAACCAATCAGAAAACGTTGCTTCTCCGCTAACGATAACGCTAATAATAATGCATATAAAAATCTATAAATACCTCTTGATTTTCTCAGTAAACGATCTGTTCCCTAACCCTTGTCTTCTGTCGTTATAGTGTATTTCCTAGCCAGATTGAAGTGAATTGCGAACTGATTTGAATCTATTATGAGTGTTATCCAACTACTCATATCGATCAATCAGGAGATAATACAAATACTTTTATGAGTACTAGTGAAAGGTAGGATTGATTGGTTTTCGATAATGCAGTCCACACTTAATCATGTGCGGATCTCATTTGTTAAAGTAGTTAAAATGCATGAATCTTATTGAGTGCTAATACAAGCACCAAGTGAAATATGCCAGTTCTGATTGACTGATTTCAACGTAGAACTCTGCACATATGTGTAGCAGTTCGAGTTGCTACACACCATGTAGCGCACAAAGCAAGAGAAGAGATTAAAAAGATAGTCGAAATAGAGACATATAATAAAAATAAATGTGAGGCAAAAAGAAAAGTAATATGGAAGAAGAATAGAATTTATTGGATATTGTAAGTCACATAGAGTGAATGCATTTGCGCCATTTAGAACGATTTTGAGTCACATCGCCGATTGTCTCCAGCCATTGGTTCTTACCATCCCGCAGACCAAAACCAGAAAGCCAGTCTATACCTCTTGACGTGGCTGGCTTAAACA